AGAGGGAGGTTAAAGGGTCATTGAATTTGATCCGTGTGCTGCACAGCAGGACTGGAACAGGCGGTAAGATGACTCCCGCTGGTCCTGGAAATCCTGGAATATCACGGGAAGCTCACAGATGCGATTGAATCCTCTGGAGGAGGAGGAACCTCAACGCCGTTCATGAAGCATCGTTAAAAAAAAAAAAAAACAAGAATATATAATCACCGGAAAATTGGAACTCAGGCGTTGGACTTTTTGCTCCTTTTGAAACCGGGTGTTTATCTTGACTCCTAAATTAGTAAAATTCTCTTGACATCTGTCCTCCCGTTGGAGCTTTAGCTGGTTTATCGTTAGCGTTCGACGACATACAACACACCAGACAAAACATGAGTCTGTGTCACCTTATTCTACAGAAATATCTGCATTTTCTTGTTATTTCTGACAATTTAATAAACACAAATGTCGATTATGCTTGAGTAATTAAAACCCCAAGTAGCAGTTCTGGTTAAAAGCAGGAATAAAATGAAATGAACGGTTGCAAACATTCAGTCTTGGGTTTCCAGTGACTCCTGTAACTCTGACTTTTCTATGTTGGAATCATCGAAACACATGATTTCATAGCTTTGTTGGAAATATGACGAAATCTGCTTGGTCAAAAATATACATACAGCAGTTCTAATAGTTGGTTAATTGTCCTTTTGCCATTTTTTCATCTCAATGAGGCACTTTCAGTAGAAGCGTTTGTTAATATATGTGGTCCAGATCTTTTTATTGCTTTCCACACTGTATTACGGTAATCTGTAACTACTTCCTAGCTTCACAGCTAGCTGTTAGCATAGTCTTAGTGACTGTTAAACGAGATAAATTTACTGATTTGTTGCCATGCTATCTGTCACCACATCTTCAAAACAGCAGCTATTCTGATTCACTTTAGCTGCAAATGTGCTCGTCTGTCTCTCTGTGTAAACAATGGCCTCCAGTGCTGATTGGCTGTTACTTGTGACACGTAACCAATCACATAAAGTTGTAGGTGGACTCACTGAAACACATGATTTCATAGATTTTTTGGAAATATGACGAAATCTGCTGGGTCAAAAATATACATACAGCAGTTCTAATCGCTGGTTAACTGTCCTTTTGCCATTTTCATCTCAACTCGGTGCTTTTGGTAGCCGTCTACAAGCGTTTGTTCATATAGATGGTCCAGATCATGTTATGCTTTCCACACTGTATTACGGTAATCTGTAGCTACTTCCTAGCTTCGCAGCTAGCTGATAGCGTAATCTTAGCGACTGTTAAACGAGCTAAATTTACTGATTTGTGGCCGTGTTATCTGTCACCACATCTTCAAAACAGCAGCTACTCTAATTCACTTTAGCTGCAAATGTGCTCGTCTGTCTCTCTGTGTAAACAATGGCCTCCAGTGCTGATTGGCCGTTACTTGTGACACATAACCAATCATATGGAGCTGTGGGCGGGACTTTGCTGCATCAGAGCCATAGTAGCACATTTGATTTATTGCGGCGGTTGCTGCTTAGTAGAAATAACAATACCGGTAATCAGGAAAATGCCACATATCGGTCCATATCATCCGTGGTCTTGTTGTCTGACAGCACAGGACACCTCACCATCAACATTATGTCGGTTTTAGTGACGTGGCTGATGGCTGTATATGCTGCCGTCTACATTACAACGCCCCTCACACTCGGCTGTCCTCCTCGTGGGATGCTGAGTGTAACATAAGTGCAGTGATTGGACTTATTTCACGCTGTTGACACCGACATCAAATATCCACTCTGTGGTCCTCTGGAGCTGCTCTCTCCTGCAGCCCTCCAGCAGCAGAGTGGCCGCCGTTTGAAGAAAGACACCTGTATTTATCCATTAGCTTTTAGTGCCGAGAAAATGTCAGCGAGGCGAGCCGGCGACCGAGTCCCAGAGTCGCAGCGTGGGGCTGACTAGACAGCACACAGCAGTGGCCGTGGCTGACCTTTCAGCTCTCCTGGAAGTGTTTAAAAGGCTTTAACACAAAGGAAACAGGAGTTGTTAACCTCCACTCAGAGGGGAGGAGAGACGTAAACTGTCCTCACCGTCTCCATCATCACCCTGTGAGTCTAATTACCCGCTTTTCACCTGAACGGACAGGTTCAGCGTTTCAGGACGTAAGAAAAAAATAACGGTTAAAAAAAAATGATGGAATGCTTTAACCTTCAAAAACTGTAAAAAAAACCAAAGCAAAACATGAAAATAACAGCAAATATTTGTAAAGTAATTATATTTTAACAGTCGCACATTGTAAAAGAACAAATGACTAAACTAAAAAGAGTGATTTTATTTTTTTATTATTTATTATTATTGTCTTTAATTTAACAAAACTGTGCAAATCTGTAAAACAACATTAAAAAGTACTGTTTTTAAATTGTTAATAGACAAAGTTTTCTTTTGATTCATTTCAAAGATCACTTAAAAAAAAGTGTATTTTTTTACATTTAAATGTTATAAAAGAACAATTAAGCATTTGACAAACTATATATATATATACAACGCCAGGCCTACTGGTTTTATTTTAGTATGTATACGGTTCTGAGATTTTATTAGATATTGTCTGTACTTTAACCAAACTGTTAAAAAAATCTGTAAAAGAAATGATCTAAAATCTCTTACTCATTTTTAAATTCTTAATGTACGTCATTTGTCCCTTGAATAATGGCAAACATCTTAAATAATTATATTTTTGGAAGTTATTTAAGTACAGTAAAAATGGTGTAATCTTACTGTCAAATGTAAAAAAAAAAAAAAAGGAAATTAACAGATTTTTATTTATGTTATTTACAGTTCTGGCTTAAAAAAGCAATTATAAAAACCCAAATAAATGATATTTCATGGTATTCAACAAAATGGTGAAAATCTGTAAAGTTAAAACATTTTGACCTAGTTTTCAATTTTTAGTATAAATACTTTTTCTTTTAAATAATGGAAAATATGTGCAAAAATATTAATATTTTTTCTGATTTAAATGCAGTAAAAAAAAAAAAGATAATTAAAAAAAAAAGACGTTTTATAATAAAACATTGTAAAAGAAATAAAATACTAACTTATATTTGTGAAAATTCAGTCTTTATGTGGACGTTATTTACACTTCTGTTCTTTATTTTTATTTTTACAGTTGAAATGTAAATTAACACTTTATTTCTCAGATATTACTAGTGATTATCTTTAATTTAGCAAAACAGGAAAAATCTGTATAATAACAATAAATTGATTAAATAAATACATTTTAAAGCTGCTAAAGCTTATTGTTTTTACTGTGCGGTCTTTGCATTGTGTCTTCGTGTGAGATGAGATTCATCAACCTCGTGTTTGTTTGTTGAGAATCGAGTGGAAGCTTAAAGTGTGAACCGAACACAGGAATCAGTCAAACTGTGGCTGCAGGTTTCTAACAATGAGCTGGACATCCAGAGCTGCAGGGGGACGAGGAGGGAAGCTGGACGGAGGCAGGAAACACTTAAAGCTCCCATATTCACACACACAGTCGATTAAACAGAGCATTGTTGGGCCTCGCGCACGCTTGATCACACACAATTTGAAGGGTCACGACTGTGAATGTGTGAAGCAGCTGTTTCTTTGATCGCTGAGCAGCAGCCACCGTTTCCTCTCGCTCTCTTTTCTCCATGTTTAGCTGAGTGTCGATCGCCCGGTCGCTCGCTCTTTATCCCATCGTCGGCCGGCTGCTGTTGAAGATCCGCCTTCGCCTCCTCTTTGCCTTTTTTCTTTAACTTCGTCCAAAGAGGCCGAGGTTTTGTCTTTATGAGGTTTGACTTTGGCTGATATCGATGGAGATTGTTAGTGATCAATGGGAGCAATATCTTAAAAATTACATTCAAAATAACACAAACTCTGATGCAAAACTGTCCTCGAATACCTTTATTTATTATGTTTTACGCATTTAATTAAATAGGAAAGCCACATTTATTATTAAGTGCTGCTTTAATAGCAGCAGGAGCTGAACAAAAGTGATGAAGAGTTAAAACTAAACAAAATTAATTAGATAATTAGAACCAAGATCACAGCGTGGCGACTACAAAAGGAAAGATGAAGCTGAATCAAAGCCAAAAACAAGTTGATTAAATGTAATTTGTTGGGTAAAAGTTAAAACAATAAAAATAAAATAAATGAAATCGTAATTAGGCCGGAGAGATGAAATGATGTGTGGCAGCAAAGACATTTAATCAATAGCGACAAGAAGATTGTTTGATAGAATAGTAATGATGACGTTTAAGAGCAAAGCACTTTTAAAAAAAAAAAATTGCAATACAAACAACAAAAGTAAGACAATCAGAAGACAAAATTTATATAAAACAGAAAGAAGACAAGAATCAGAGAAGCAACAAAAGGAGAAAATACAGAATTTCTGTATATTTACACCATTTATTTGAGTCAAACAAAACAACAAAAGTACTGAAAATGCCTTAAAAGCACATTAGAGGAAAGAAAAGATGTGGATAGGCCTGATTAGAGTGAAAGAAAAAGAATAAAGGAAGAGAGTAAAACTGTCAAAACAAGAGTAAAATGGAAAATAAAAGGCGTACAATAGGTTTTAAAAGGTGATTTAAAGGACGACCTTGATTCTGCAGCCTGATCTCTTCAGGTGGACTCATTCCAAAACCTTCAATGTGATTATTATGATCTTAAAATGAGCAGAAAGCCAGTTTATGCAGATTTTTATTAACTTTTATTTGAATACAGCAGGACTTTTGATGTGTGTTTTAAAGATTAACGCTGGATCAGAAAGAACTCCCACGTCTCTGGCGGTTGGTTTTATATTAAAGGACAACGAGCTGAGGATTATTCCCAATTGTTAGCTGTTTATCTGAAGAGTTCTGCCATCACACGGTTAAAATAGAACTGTTCATTTAAGAGGTATGGCGGCGTGTCGTCTGCATACAAACAAAGAACCAAAAAGACGTGTTTCATTGGATCTTCCTCCTTGAAGAGTCACGAAGTTGAATGTTCTGATCATTTTATCGTTTGATTTGGTTTCAAATTAATCAAATATAATCCAAAAACTACATCTGAGTGTCACGTAATGAAGATTTAACACCGTAGAATAATATTATAATGAGCAGGTGGACGGCGTTCAATGGAAAAATTAAAATATGAATAATTCTGAAATCCTGTAAAAATAACACAAAACACTACAGAAGAAACTCACTTGCCTCATGTTCTATAAGAAGAGCTTCACAATAGAACAGTTAAATAATAGTTTTTTAGGTAAAACGTGCACAAATCAACACAGAAGCAGCGCTGAAGACGAGTTAGAAACGAAGTGGAAGCTGGACGAGGAGAACCCGCTGCGCTCTGAAGAACAGGAAGTGTGTGTTTTAAACAGCAGCCGAGGAGGAGGAGGTCCTGGAGGTTAACAAGGCATGCTGGGAGCGATGTGTCATGGCTGACATGACAAGCTTGACCTTGGAGTCGAGCAGAACGCCTCCTCCTCCTCCTCCTCCTCCTCCTCCTGCATCTCCATCGCTTCCATTCCCTTCCAGGACGGCTGAGCTGCTGGTTCTGATGTGATGTTTTTAAAAAAGGGTTCGTCGCTTTGTTTCAGGTTGCAGTGATCCGTCTGTGAAGCAGTCTTACACCAAACTGTAACGCTGCAGACGACACGATGCGTCTTCATTGGTCAGAAAATCTGCATCGTCAGAGAGGACAGTGGAGACATTTAGAAAAATCTGTAGAAACATCAAAATAAACAGGGAAAACATACAGAAGTTGATGTCGTCGTGTCGATTCAACAGCCGTTGAGTTGCGATGAAGCTCAGACAGGTTCAGCTTCAGTGTAATTATGTGATTTTATTCTCATTAACATTTAAATATTCAGCAAGAAAACCAACAAAAAACACAAAATCTGTGCTGTGTTTCTGCACAACCAGCAGAGCTTTGAGTGTTTTTCTCATCATGAATTACTCAATCAATTACAAACACACTCGACACATTTATGAGACTAATTCATTAAGCACTGTATTTATATTTATAGACCGTCCAGCGTGATGAAGAGCTTTAACGCCACTCAGCTCTCCACGTTTCACCGTTTTGAACAGGAACGAGGAATTTAAACTGGATTCATCTTTTATATCCAAACCTGAAACAATCTAGCATCACATTCAACCACTAAAACTACTTTTATTCTGTTCAGGAGTACAAATAAATACCTAAAATCTGACTTCTTCATCAAGAAATACTAATGTGCTTTACTGGTTTTTCAGGGTTTTTTTGTAAAATAGTAAATTTGAGAACTCCTGGATAACAATAATAATTATATCTTAGCATTAAAGCTATCAGTTTGGTTAAAGAGCTTCTACATTTTGGTTTTATTAACCTTTACAGGAACATAGGAGATGATTTTAGTTATAATCAATGCTGTTAGTTTAGGGCAGCTGTGGCTTAAACCTGACGTTGTTTGATTCATGTGTTACGCGCTGCATGTTGTGCATTAGCAGCCAAAATGTGTTTAAATACCAGAAAACTGTTCAAGAAAAATTAACTTATGTTTTTTTTACAGTGTAGGTGTGTTAATAAAAAAATAAACAGCAAAAATAAGTGTTTTAAAAGTTGATAACAGGTGTTTGTCTTCAGTAGATACGATTATAACGGTTATTTACTTCAATCAAGGAGATTTTTTAAAGATGGTTTAGAATTTTCCAGACATTCTCCTCGACACAGTTATGAAAATATTCCTCTGCTGCATCGTTTAAGGATGAAATACAAGTAAAAGCATCATTTAATCACAGATAGAAGTCACTGTATTCAGCTCGTGTGGCTAAACCTTATCAGAGTAAAGGAGTGAAATTACCCCGAAACCTGACTGGTGGCGTCATTTTGTCGTTATTTGTTATTGTTCAACTAAAAAAGCAGATTTGTGTTCCTGTGTGTCGACCTGCAGCCTGAAGCCTCTCTGTGTTTAGTTAAACGGCCATTTTTAACTCCAGTCGTGCATCAATATGAACCCAAACGCTAAAATGTGCTCGTTCATATTGAAGCTCTGATTTCAACACAAATGCAAAAACTGTGACGCTGAAAGAACGAATAAATTAGAGTTTATTTCCCAAGTCAGACGCAGATTTCTTTCTTTTCCTTCTCGGCTCGTCTTCAGTCACTAACTCAAAGTCCACAAATCGCTAATTGAAGCCCAAACGAGTGGCAGCGCCGTCGTGTCCGACCCGCTGTGGACCCGGCTCGGCTCTCTGCTCTCTGCTCGGCCTTTTGTTCAATCTCCCGGGACAGAAAGAGAAACATCAGTTATGTTTTAATTAAGCCCAATTAAGTTTTTATCACTTTAATGCTGGAGACGTGTAATCAAGCAGCGGGCGGCTATCGGCCTTCTGTCAGCGAGCGCCCGTGTGCACGTGTGCGATATGGAGTCATTAGGTGGAGGCGGCGTGTGAGCAGGTTAATTGGAACATGAAGCCCAGTGTTAACCAGGATTAATCAATGTAATTACACACGGCGTGATTACGGCTTCTTATTGGCGCGCTGACGTATGAAACCGTATCTGTTGGGTTTTTTTTTTTTTTTTCTTTCTGAACTGCCTGTAATTTCTAAAACGACGTATTTTTTTTCTCCAGCGGGGATGTTTGTGTGATCCATTAGGCGAGATTAGCCGTTACCTTTAGCCGCCTCATTCATTAGCGCGCCGTCATTCATTAGCCGCTAATGAAAAGCCACCGTTAATTGGCGATGGAGAGATAAGGGGCGAAATGAAAACACCACATGTAGAGAAGGGGCGGTGTGTCGCTGGTGCGCCGCCATTAATCGTCCAGATAACGAGGAGCCTTGATTAGCTGCTGAAGCAGGACGGTTGCTGTGATGAGCCGAACCGAGCAGCATCGTGATGTTTTGATGTTAAAATTCCCGTTTTCCTTCTTTGTCCTCAGCCGGGACGACCACCGAGCCCTCGCCGCCGGCCCCGCCCCCTCCAGAGGCCCAGCCAATAGAAACCAAGGCTCCCGAGGAGGAAATGGACGTCACCGACGACGACATCACAGCAGGTAGGAGCGTCGACAGAAGCTTTTGGTTTCTTGTTGGGATGTTCGGGATTCATCGGTTTTATTTTGTGTAATAAAACCCAAATCTGTGACGGCAGTGGACCCCAGTTGCATCATGGGTAATGTAGGTTAATGTAGGATCATTTCATCTGAAATCATCAGATTTTTACATTAATTTCTGCTCAACCTTCTCTGATCTCCCTGAAATATTTATAGCAGATATTTATAAAGATATTTGTGAAATTTAATCTTGATATATCAAATACTTTCCGAGATAATTTATTTTTAAATCAACCGTCCACCAACTTTCAGCAGCTTTTTTCTGAAATCTGAGGCTGTTTGAACAACAACATCTCAGGAACTATTAAAGATAAAAACCTGAAATCTTCTCTTTCATTTCTCATCATGTCACTGATTCAGAATCCGTAATATTGGACATGATTGGATATGAAGAAAAAAAATAGAGTTGTCGTGAAAAGTTCAATTTTTGAGCTTATATTAACAAAAAAACTGATAATCCAGAAGTCAACCAGTGATGTTTTCTGAACCACATGTAGCTGCAGGTCACAGTAATACAAAACTAAACATGTAGAATAGTTTAAATATTAAATTTTTGGTCACAAACATGAAAACAAAACGTTATTTTTATTGAACTTTCATAACTGATTGAGCAGGTTTGACAAGTTGTCGGACAAAAAGTAAAATATCAGTAGATAGCCTGATTTCAACTCCTCAAAAATCAGAGATTATCTGATCTACATGTCCAATATCACAGATTCTGAATCAGTGACATGATGAGAAATAACAGAGAAAGTTTAAGGTTTTTATCTTTAATAGTACTTCAGATGTTGTTCAAATGGACTCAAATTTCCGATAAAACCTGCTGAAAATGGGTTAACAGGTGATTTTTAAACAATTTTTTACCTCTGAAAGTATTTTAATATCAAGATAATATTTCACAGATACAATTTTAAAGAGTTAATGATAAAATCTGAGCTGGTCGAGCAGAAGGACTCTGATGATTTACGGTGGACCAAACCGGCTGGAATCACCGACCGAGCCTCTCCAAAGGCAGAAGCATCCTGTCGTCTGATCCGGCGTGAGGAGGTTTAAACCTTACGTCTTAAATCGACTCACGCTGTCACGATTCACCTTAAAGTTGCTCTGAAACGTCTCTGCGGTGCAAAACGAAGGAGCCTCATCTGGACACGAGAAGGAAACTCATCCATCATTCATCCGCTGCAGAATGCAGCTGTGGTGCTCTGGTGACTGTGGATGTGGGTTAAACACGACGGTGTGCGTTTCCAATCAGACTCACAGCTCCAGAGTGTGGCGGTAAAAGCAGTTCACTGTATCTGGCACGGTCAGGTGAGAAGCTGTGGTGAAGGCTGACACCTGTGCAGGTGGAGTCACACTCGCTGGTTTCCAGTCCATTTGTCTTTGTCGCGTTCCTCCGAATCTTTAACCGTGAAAGACATAAAAGCAGGTCGTCTGCACTCAGGTAGGAGCGCTTAAAACAGCAGATTCTATTTATTATTATTCATTACAGCGGCAGTTAGTCAGAGAAATATGAGCCTGAAGGGAAACTCCTGCAATAATCTGATGTGCAAATGCAAACACGAAGCCTGTGATGTTCTCTGGCTGTTCCTTGCATCACCTTCCTGCCTCCATCCTTCTCTCAGACCAGTCAATACCACAGATGTGTCTGACGATTTATCATTTCTCACAGCTCATTTTTCTCCTATTGACAGCGCTGCTCCTTTTGTTTTTTCTTCTTCTTCTTCCCTCCGTTCAGCCTCTGCAGCATTAAATCCGTTAGCAGACGCCTCGAACGCCGACAGTCTGAGCTGCTCGGCTGAGGAGGGAAAACTTCTCAGCCGTTGTTTCGCCGCCTTGTTGCGTGAATCCGGCTTTAACGACGTTTAATTCTGCACAATTTAGGCTTAAATATAAATGGAACATCCTTCTGCTGCTTCATATTTAAAGCTGGAAACAACTTGTTGTCCTGCTCAACCCGAACTACGTCCACAGCGCTGTGCTACTGCTAAAGATTAGCATTCTGCTATATTTGAAAGCAACGGCTCTGAATCGTTTGTAGTTTCTTTGATTTAACTGCAAACGTCTTGGGTGGTGCTGAGCCCAGGATGCAGTGATGGTGCCCCATGTGCTGCCACTTACAATCGGTGACCCCGAACAAAAAGAAAAATCAAAAACCTACCCGCTTTATGACACGATCCAAATCAAAAATATCAAAACTGGCTTTCTTAGCTGCTTAGAGGTGGTTGTTGTTGTTGTTGTTGTTGTTGTTGTTGTTGTTGTTGTTGTTGTTGTTGGGATTGGGAGAGAAACTCTGCAGCTAAAATGTCCGACGAGTTTAACAGTGGCCATTTTTCAAATTTGTTTTTGTTCAGATAGAAAAATATAAAATTCTATCTTTATAACAACAACATTCAGTCTGACAGGAACTGATATTTTCATTATTGAGTAATATATATTTTTAACTAATCAGTTAATTGTTTAGCCTGAACTCCAACATGTTCGTGACCGACTGACGAAACAAATCGTGTTTGAAACTGAAACGCATCAGAGCCGAGCTACAGCGTTTTAAAATGAAATAAGTTTACGGGAAATAACGACGCCGATAGACTGATTATTGGAAAAATTCTGAATATCCGACTGTGATAAATCCAAGTTCCAGCGACAGAAGACAGCGACTAGTCTCACTGAAGTAGCTACAACTGGAGAATAAATGACAGACTGATTGATGATTGATTGGTTCTATGTTAAAAGAAGTCCTAGAAATTAAAAATGCTTCCTTTCTTGTCCACCTTTTCACACTTTAAACTCTTTATTTATTTATCAAGCATCCAGAAATCTCTGTTTTTAGCTTCTCAATGAGAAGAATCACTTTTTCTTTTTGTTCAGTCAGATTCTTGTCCACCGTCTGACTCACAGCGATATGTTCGTTAGCGTTTCAGTGTTAATTAATCTCCTGCTCACCTGCCTCGTGTTACAGATGTTTATTAGACATTATATATTATGTAAAATATCAGCTTTCTGGGCTTTTGTTTGGGTGAAATAGTAACGTGAGGTTCTGTTGACGTTTATCTGCTGCCTTATTATGAACTAAACTGACAGATGACAGATAAACATAAATACCTGCACCAGCTGTAAGAAGAGCCTCGAATGAATCAGCTCAAATAGAAAAAGAAGAAGTTAAAATCATACATTTATGAAGGGAAACATGTACACATCTGTCCATGTTTAAATTCCATAATCAGATTAAACAGCTTTAATTGATCAAACCACATTAAACCCAATAATAAAAGCATCACACCGGACTGAGCCGGACTCGTCAGCATCAGGACCGACGTGACGAGCCACGGATCCAGCAGCACGGAGCGTCGTCCAGGAAGCTCGGTTAAAGTTAGTTTCAGGTATTTGTCTAAAGGGAGTCTTTGTTCGAACGCGAGACAGAAAAGAGGACGAACGAGCAGAAAGAGACAAAGAGGGGAGAAAAAAAAGATGTCGACAGCCACAGAATCACTTGGCTGCAGGCTGTTTCCACGGCGATAGACTCATCACATCAGTCTGCTGCCGTCTCCCCCGTCGCACAAAGACACACACACACACACACACACACACACACACACACTCTCTCTGAGCTGAGGATGTGCAGGTGACAACATTTGTTGCTCGGTGCCACAGCTGCAAAACCTCCCAGACCAGAGCTCTGATATAAACCTGAGTGTGTGTGTGTGTGTGTTGTAATTATGTCCGTGGCAGTGTCAGGGGATGTCATTAGGACACACACACACACACACACACACACACACACACACACACACACACACACACACACACACACACACACACTTGAATCATTGGATGTCTGTCGGTGACATTTTTGCTGGAAGCACACGTTACAGTTAAAGCGTTAGACGCCGCCGACATAAACGAGAGACGCTGATTGTAGGAACAGTTTCCTGTTTTGTGTTTCTCTGGGAATCAACTTCAAGTGTGAGAACATTTATATCTGCAGGAGTTTGTATAAAAACCTGAGTTTCACTCTCAGCAGGTTGTTTGTTTTTCTCGCTTTGAATTTTGATTCCGTTTAAACAACAACATCTGAGAAAGTATTGAAGATTAAAAAACCTGAAAGTTTCTCATCATGTCGCTGATTTTAAATTCAGAAACCCCCAAACTGTTCTACCTGCATCAGATAATCTACCAGTATTCTAGTTTCAGTGCTGCAATTTAATAAAGGTATTGATTGTATTATATGTGTCCACCAACACAAAGGCAACAGAATACCGACTAAGTTAAACATGTTGCCGTGGAATCTGCTTCAGGTGTTCATGGTGCTCAGATGATGAATCCCAACGACTTAAAGCCATTTTCATTTATTAATATTTTAGCTTTTGTTCTGCAGCTTGTCAAACCTGTTCAATCAGTTGTGAAAGTTCAACCTTTTCCTCACTTTTCTCACCAAGAATTTCAAAATAAAAGCATTCTACATGTTTAGTTTTGTATTGTTGTGACCTGCAGCTACATGTGGTTCAGGAAATATCACCAGTTGACTTCTGCTTTATGAATTCTTTTGTTAATTTGAGCTTTCAAACGTTTCAGGTTTTTATCTTTAATTGTTCCTCAGATGTTGTTGTTCCTGAAGTTAAACGTGAGAACAAAAAACCTGCTGAAAGTGTCAGATACCGTTTTAAATATTCGTAGTTTATGACTTAAAGAACAGCTTTTAATTGAATCAAAGGTGGTCGAGCAGAAGGTTCCTGATGGTTTGAGATGAAATAAAACAATAATGTACAAATTTTAGCATCACATATGTTTTACTGCATAAGTAATATCCATTATTACATTATATTAAAGAAATAAACTGTCATTTAGTTTGAACATTTAAACCTTCATTAGCAGATTATTGCCCATAATTCTGAGTTGCTTTCTACAGTTAAACTCTTTCTGTAGACCGACAGGTTGTTCATGCATGG